AGCTGGGCAGCTTTGATCCAAGGGAGCCATTGCCTTCCTGGTTCCCCAGCATGCCCTCAAACCGAGAGTGGGGAAAAATGACAGTAGCTCAGGAGCTGATGTAAACCTCTCCCATTTCTTTCCCTTTCTACCCTCCCAGTCTAATACCAACAGAGCTTGGATGATAATTTATTTCCTTTGGCCCAATGCCTTAAGATTGCAACCTAAATGCTATTTCAGTCTTAGTTTAATTGCTGGCAATTAATTTGTTTTAACTTGCCCATAGGTCTTCTAGTGTTTCTGTGACTGTGCCGGTGGTGTTGATATTGGGGTGGTTTTTTTTTTTGTTATTGGTTTGCTTGTTGCTAGGAATTCCTTGTACTTTGCTTGTATCTTGATGGGCTTTTCATCAGGTGCAGAAACAGCTCGCTGGGAGCCAGCTTCCTGGCAGGTGGGTTGCTGTTGCTTAGCAGAAGAGGAAGCAGTAGGGGCGAGGTGATGGGCAAGTCAGCGCGGTGCAAACACACCACCAGGAGCACCAGATTAGCTCCTACTCTGCACCAGCCTCCCCACTGCCTCCACTCTTTCCCACCAACAGCAACTCAACTGCCAGGAAGCTAGCATCTTCGCTCCAAGCTGCTCGCGTCCAGCCACTTCTGATCACAGTAATTGTGGGCCCGGTGTGGAGCCAGCCAAGGTAGAGATAAGTTCCTGGACATTAGTATTGGGTTGAAATAGGCCACAACAAGAAGAAAGCTGGGTGAACTGCAAAATGCAGGGCTAGTGAGACCCCCAGCCCAGAGGCATCTATACATACAGTGGTACCTCAGGTTACAGACGCTTCAGGTTACAGATGCTTCAGGTTACAGACTCTGCTAACTGAGAAATAGTTCCTCGTGTTAAGAACTTTGCTTCAGGATGAGAACAGAAATCATGCGGCGGCGGCACGGTGGCAGCGGGAGGCCCCATTAGCTAAAGTGGTACCTCAGGTTAAGAACAGTTTCAGGTTAAGAACGGACCTCCAGAATGAATTAAGTTCTTAACCCGAGGTACCACTGTATAGGGTAGAATTCAACATAGCATTCAGTGGGGTTGTCTCCCAGCAGAACAAGGTCTGCTTGTGCAATGCGATTTCGCCCACCCTGTTTCCCCGTGCCATGTTGCAACGTGGGTACATTATCTGCACATGCCACTGACGGCAACCATTTATGTTGCCCGTTATTAATGAATGAGCTAGGCACAAAATGTGGTTTTTGCGAACTGTTTCCCCTAAACATTTCCTAGAAATAATGCTTGTGGGTGTGAAAGGCTGGTTGTTACACAGCAGAAGCTGGCGTCATATCGGATCGAATATGGAAATAATTATGCAAAATTCTCCGTTTTTGCAAAATATTGTGTTGCTTATTAATATTGTGAAATAACCAGGATATTGGGCTACTAAAGCTTGTTTCAATATATAAAAATAGTAAACAGAGGCATGAGTGCATCAGAAAGGGATTCATACACAGATGGGGAAAGGCTGTATCTCAGCTGGAGACCATGCGCTTTCCACATGGAAGGTTCTAGATTCAATCCCTGGCATCTCCACGGAGGGACAGTATAGACTGAAAGACCTTTATCTGAAACCTTAGAGAGCCACTGTCTTTGGTACTTGTCTTGTATGTGTCTTTCAGTAGCCAATGTACTGAATATTCCAGGTCTTATTGGACTACAGGTGGTGACCATTTTATGGGCGATTGCCAAATGATGGGCAATTGCCAACGCAAAGGTCCTTTTGGACCCAGAAGAGGGAAGAATGGGGGCAGAAAAGGGGTAGAATGGGGGTGGGGCACTTATGTGAGGTACACCAGTGCACCTGGTGGCCAGGAGCGGAACCCCTGCGTGAAATGGCCGTCGCCTGTACTCCAACTCCCATTGTCCCTGGCCATTGGTCACACTGACTGATAGGCATTGTAGTCCCACAACAGCTGGCTACCCACAACCACATTGGCCACACTTGTATTGACCAATGGTCCAACTCAGGATAAAGTTGCTTCTTGCATTTCCTCAGGACTTAGAAAAACCATAGTTCAGAATGCTTTGTGGATTTTTCATTTTTCTTACAGAGGTACATTTTTACATAAATGCATCAAAAAAGTCAGCCATATATGTAGGTATTTACGATGCATTAGCTTTGTCTAAAGGAGGTGTAATAGAAGGGAAATACTTTTATTCCCTTCCTGTCATGACTGCCCTTCTGGGTAGGCCAGCCATGCAAGAGGCTCTAAGGCTCTTAGGTTCCCTCCAGGGCCGGCCCACCCATTAGGTTTCCTGAGGCATCCACCTTAGGCGGCAGGCTGGGGACAGCTGAGAAGGGCGGTAGATCTGGAAAGGAACAAAGGAGCAGGAGAGGCCGAAAAGACATTGTATGTGCTAGACCCCAAACATATTATTGGTCCCAGTGCTGATCTTGGATAATTGGACTATTGGAGAAACCAAGGAAAAAGACTCCATGCTAGTGTGTCTCATAACATTTGAAGATGTGACCACTCAATGAAATAATAATAGCTTCGGGACAGATGAAGATAGCATACTCCTCAAGTGTCCCAGGAAAACCAGGACATGTCGTTTTTTCACGACAGCCATTTTGGGCACCGTGCTCTCATGTGATCTTATGCCATGATCTTACCCCACAAAAATGTCCCCCCCCCAGGGTTGCAATCTCAAATGGTGCTGCAAAATGCAAGAACACCCCCCCAAGCACTTTTGGGGGTCCACAATCTCACACAGATCACATGACTCACCCGGGAGTGCAGCCCAGAAGAAGCGCAGCCTGGTTTTCCGCCTGGATATGTTGGAGTGTTTGGTATAAGTCATTTTTAACATGCAGCGTACGATTAATTTAGTCAGTTTGCTGCCACGAGATGTAGTGGCAGCCCTTTGGCACTGCGGCTTTAAAAAGGGCTTAGACAGATTCACAGAGATGTGCATCTATGGCTTCTAGCCATGGAGTCTACAGATTCATGGATGTTGCATATCAGGCCCTGCTTGTGATTGGGCTTCAGGCAACAGCAGCTGGCTAGTAGTTGCTGTGGCAAACAAGATGCTAGGATAGTTGGACTTTTTCATCTGATCCAGCAGGGCTCATTTTATATATTTATGTTTTTATTCAACTGTATAAAAATGTATACACAGAGAAGGAATGGGTCTCCTCCTGCTGCCGTCTTGATGAGGTCTGAAGGAAGCCGCAGCTGCTGGAAGAACAGAACCATTAACGTCAACAAGGGCCTGATCAAAAGACAGAGCCAGAAACCCTCTTACGGCCTGGATGTGTCATCCCGGCAATAAATATGAATAGCTCCTCGTTCAGGGGATTTTTTTCCCTTTCTATTAGCATCGCTCACATCCTCATTAGCTCCTGACCCCATTCCCTGTCACTTTGCAGATCGCTTCCTTTCTCTTCATAACTCCAATAACTCATTCCAGCTTGCACAATTAAAAACAAAACACGTCGCAAATGACATCTGCTGTCTGCCTGCATTTCCCCTCCCTGCAGCAAAGGCTCAGGCCCACCCTATCCTTGAGGATTTAGCCCATAAGCCGCACTTTTCAGAGGAGAAACCCAAAGGAACATCTGCAAGACACTTTAACGGTCGCAAACATCCATCTATTCGCTTGTACGCAGTTTATCCGTTTCTGCAAATCCAGCGTAGCGTCATATCTTGAGAAGCTGCACATGCAGAGAGCAGTTGATGCCCTTGCAAGTACTAATTTGGTGGATGAGGAATGTTCAGGATTCAAGCACAAGGGATCTCTGATCAGTTACCATGGGTGACTTCATAGTTTCAATTTATGCTCTGCAGTCTGTGGTTCTTCGTGCATCAGGTGGTGTGTATCATGTCAAATGCTGCCACTTTGAGGGGGGGGAAGGGGGTTAATTGCTGCTCTTTCTGATGACATGGCTACGAATACTATAACCCTGTCGGTGATGTCCTGCTTGCATGGTATTTGTAAATGTCTTTTCCCCAAATTCACCCCTGCAGTCTTCACTGTTCTTGTTGCAGAAGTAACAGCCGCTGAAGAGGCAAGCCTTCTCAGTTCTAAAAGTAGCTTGTCTTGGTCAGTGGGGAACATTGCAATTTAAGAGAGAGAGAGTCAAGTTCCATCTGTGAATGGGGGTGTGTGTGTCTTCATGGCTGAAGACAAAACCCTCCTTCCTGAAGAGATAACTTTTTTTTAAAAAATGCAGTAAACTATAGGAAAGTTTGAATCCACACTGGAATGTGATAATTTCCAGATGTCTTTCCTATTTGCTGCAAGTGACCAACAGTAATGTAGACAGTTTGATGCAGCGAGGGAAAATTTGTTCTATTAACTTGCAGTGGGTAGAATGAGTGCCACACTGTGCCTCCATTTGCCCTGCTAATTCAAGCCTATTGGTCATTTGCCTTCAGTTCTTTGTTTCAAATACAGTGGTACCTCGGGTTACATACGCTTCAGGTTACATATGCTTCAGGTTACAGACTCCACTAACCCAGAAATAGTACCTCAGGTAAAGAACCTTGCTTCAGGATGAGAACAGAAATTGTGCTCCCGTGGCGCGGCAGCAGCAGGAGGCCCCATTAGCTAAAGTGGTGCTTTGGGTTAAGAACAGTTTCAGGTTAAGTACGGACCTCCGGAACGAATTAAGTACTTAACCCGAGGTACCACTGTACTTAACCTGAGGTACCACTGTAGTGTGCACCAAAGTTGTAGAAGACACAGGGGAAGTGAGGATCTCAAGGAGGAAGCCGAGTTTAGGTATGTAAATGCTACTCATAACTCCCTTTTAAAATTAAAGCAACTCCGTTGTAGGGAGGGCTGAGGGAGGAGGTTTGACCTTGTTGGCAGTTGCCAGAGCAAAACTGCGAACAAAAATGCAGCTGACTTCCCATATCTCTTCACTGAACTTTATAATCCAACATGCAACTATTTCATATAATTGTAGAGTTGGAAAGGTACCCAAGGGTCATCTAGTCCAACCCCCCTACAATGCAAGACTCTTTCGCCCAATGTGAGGCTCAAACCCACAAACCTGAGATTAAGAGTCTCACACTCTACTGACTGAGCTATCTCATGTAATCATTTGAAAGCAAATCTTTATATTAAGTGCACATTAGGCAAAACATTGATTCAACCAAGACTGTGTACAAATATGCATATATTAGGGGAAGGTGAGCATAACAATTACTAAACAAAAAACAAAAAACACACACTCTTGCAAAAATGCATTGTATTAAGGGAAATTACTTTCAAAAATGTGCATATCAGGCAAAATTCATTCAGTGGTCAGCACATGACATAATGCACAGCCAGAGCAACGATCTGGGTTATAGAGCAGCCCAATGGAGAGACGCTCTTACTTAGTGTGTGACAGCATTCATAGAATAACTTTTGAAGTTAAGCAATGCATTACACACAGAGCTGAAGTAGGGTTAAAAATAGGCTCTACTCTAAGCATTGCTGTAAACCAGGGGTCATAGTACAACTCATGCAACACGTTGGCGACTAATAGACACACAGTAATTACCAAAGTGATTATACATTCTTTATCAATCTTCTGAGAAAAATACAAAACCTTATGCAAAGCCACAGAGACTTGCTAACTACAACCAGGGGTCGGCAAGGTTTACCTCGCCTGGGCTGGTTCACTCCAGCTGAGATCCCTCCGTGGGCGAATGGTTTAGCACAGCATGCGGGGACTTGCCGAGCAGGCAGCTCGGTTTGGGGGTGGCTCATAGGCCGGTTAAATGACCCCCGTGGGCCACTTGTGGCCCATGGGCCTTAGGTTGCCGACCCCTGCTGTAAACCATGCTTGTACAACTTGTTGGTGATGTACCAGGATGAACACAGTTGCCTAAAATTCCACATGTTTGCTGTCTGCCAGTAAGTATGTGGCACCCAGCAAGCCCCAATGAGTGGCTGGTGGACTTAGCTTGAATCAGTGGATCGTACATTGCTCTGGCCTGCTGTAGAAACCTTAGCAAAATGATCCAGGTAATTAAAGATGATTTCCCCAACGGTAAACTTGATCCAGCCAAAGCTTTTAACATGTTCTTAACCCTCCCCCCTTAGTTCAGCGAATCTTAGAAGTGCACAACTTTGGCTGGCTCATGCCCGATTTGTTTGTTTGTCATTCTATTTATACCCTGCCTCTCTGCCAGTAGGCACTCAAGGCAACTTAAAACCCAGCAATTAACAATATATACACAATATCAACAATAAAAACTGAGATGTAAGCACAAAAACAGCAATTATCTTAATCGCAAGGAAAAGCACAGGGCCTGTTAAAGCTTAGCAGAACAAAAAGGCCTTTGCCCTCTTCCTAAGAATGAAAAACGACTGAACCAACTAAGCAGACCTCCCTAGGATGGGAGATCCAAGGATAAGGAACATCTACTGAAAACTGCCTACTCCATGGAGCCATAAACGCTGCCCCTAATATTGAAGGTACACTGAGCATGGGCCCCCCTTGAAGATCACAGTAAGGGAGAGGATTGATAATCTAGTTCAGAGATGGGGAACCCCTAGCTCTCCCAATGTTTGTCAGACCACAGTTCCCATCATCTCTGACCATTGGCCATGCTGGCTAGGGCCGAAACAGGCACACCAACTCTAGGAATCCGAGGTGTTGTTGGCACCCTCAATATTTGTTGGAAGGAAGCCGTTCCCCTACAATGTTGAGGGGGCAGAGGAGGCTGGGCATGGAGCCAAGCGTGGCACAGCTTCACTGAGCAGCTCCTCCAGAGTGCTCAGCCTCCTCCAGGTGACATGATACCACATGCATGCGACGCACATCAGGCCCCCTCAATCTTGGGGGCAACTTGGTGCCTCTGGGCTGAGGGGAGCTGGAGTCCAGAAACACCTGATTCCTCATCCCTGCTCCCACCAGCAAATTCATGACGTATTGGTAGGGTAGCCTAGTAGCCTGCTTTACACAGGACGGCCCTCTATTTGAAAGAGTCTTCTGCTTGAAGGACTGCCCAAGCTGAGCCTGGTTTAAAGTGAAAGAACCGTCAGAAGAGAGAGAGAGAGCAGGAAGGGCCTTGAGGTTGCCCATCATTTAGAAACTGAACAGTGGACTGAGCAAGCACACAGGACAACTGGTGGTCACAGTCTTTCTCACTCCGATGAGGTGTATATTCCTCCCTTGCCAGGTTCTTCCCATATTCCCAGGCACATCATTCTGAGAAACCCTTTGGGCTACTTTTGTACTAGCACAGATCCTTAGGTTGGTTGTTATATAAGAATAACATAGTAATGCTGTGGGTTGGCTGTACATCACATATACAAAAAGAAGAAGAAGAAGAGTTTGGATTTGATATCCCGCCTTTCACTCCCTTTAAGGAGTCTCAAAGCGGCTAACATTCTCCTTTCCCTTCCTCCCCCACAACAAACACTCTGTGAGGTGAGTGGGGCTGAGAGACTTCAAAGAAGTGTGACTGGCCCAAGGTCACCCAGCAGCTGCATGTGGAGGAGTGGAGACTCAAACCCGGTTCCCCAGATTATGAGACTACCGCTCTTAACCACTACACCACACTACAAGGTGTTGCAGCCAAGCCATATTATCCTTAGCACAGATACATGGAGCTGCCAGGGTGATTTCATTGAAAATGTCTCTGCCTCATCGTCTCGTAATGTCCCAATTGCAAAAGCATAGCATTATGGCAGACCTGTTATTTCTTCTGTTATGTGGTTCCTTTAGCTAGTGGATTCTGGGTTGCTTCCCACACTATCAGTTTATTCTGCTCGTGTGAATCCTTTGCTCTTTTCTTTTTTAAAATGAGAACTTGCTCTGATATGAGGATCATTGCCTTGTGGACTTTTAAGGGTTCCTGTGCGTTCAATGGGGTGGGGAGAAGATTCTGCAAGGGGGTGGAAGAAAGGCAGCTTTGAACATGACCAGAGTGAGGGAAAGCCATTTGAGTGTGGCAGTGGGCTTCCCGGAAGTAGTTTTGGAGAGGTACAATGATACGCTGATGCTTTTGGACTTTGCTGCTTTATGACGTTGGGAGAGGGCCAGAGACAGAACGCATGGCCCGCAAGAGAGAGGTCCAAGTTCAATCTCCAGGATCTCCAGGGAAAGTCTCTTGTCTGAGAGCCACGGCCAGTCAGCTTGGGCAAAATAATAATAATAATAATAATAATAATAATAATAATAATAATATATTTATACCCCGCCCATCTGGCTGAGTTTCCCCAGCCACTCTGGGCGGCTCCCAATCGAGTGTTAAAAACAGTACAGCATTAAATATTAAAAACTTCCCTGAACAGGGCTGCCTTCAGATGTCTTTTAAAGAGAAGATAGCTGCTTATTTCCTTGACATCTGAAGGGAGGGTGTTCCACAGGGCGGGCGCCACTACCGAGAAGGCCCTCTGTCTGGTTCCCTGTAACCTCACTTCTCGCAATGAGGGAACCACCAGAAGGCCCTCGGTGCTGGATCTCAGTGTCTGGGCTGAACGATGGGGGTGGAGACGCTCCTTCAGGTATACATGACCGAGATGGGCCAATGGTCTGACTTGGTATGTGCCACTGCCTTTGTTCGCACAATGGGAGAGGAAGGGAAAAGGGCTTCTCCATTCAGTTCAATGGAACTGCCTTCACTGGCCAGAAAAATGAAGGCAGGCACATTTTCTAGAGCTTCATCTGTGCATTGCAGCACACATGCGACTTTGCTGTAGGCACCTGGGTACAGAATGTGTGCAAGTCTCATTGTACCTAACATCACACTCAGGCCTTCTCAATACTTGGGGAGCAATTCAGCGTAGTGTTATGACCATGATTCTGTCAGCTCAAGCATTTCAGTTGGTCAGTCTCCCCTCTTTTCCCCATGTGCTGTTCTGAAGGTTCTCCTGACCCTGACCCCAAGTAATTTTTGGGTTTTTTTTGGAGGGAGTGCAGGGGGCACACAATGGGAGGAGAGGGGGAACAGCCCCATTGTCTCTGTTCCATCCCCACTCTGGCAAGTGAAGCTCCCCATCTCTGCCGCTCCACACATCCCCATGCACTGCTGATGCTCCTGCATGTATTTGCTGATAAGCCTGTTTCATCCCATTCGCACACAAGTCTGCATTTTTAATCCTCACAAAGGCTTGCACCTGAAGTCGTATTTAAATGTGTATTCCAAAAATATTTTCTCTCTTAAAATGCACATTTGAAAATGTGTTTTGTTGGGTTGGTGGTGTTCTAACTGCACTGAAATATTTGGGCCATGGGAAAAAGCCAGTGGGCAAGTAAGTTCTGATACACACATTAATCCCAGAGGTGTTATTAGGTCAGTTTGTTACCAGCATTCACAAGAATTGAATTCCTTGGGCAATCACCCCTGCATCCATTAATCTTTTTGGAGAATAGCCCCTTTATTGCTTAAGCTACCCAGGTTCCCTCTACGTATATCAGCAAAAGAGCGTGGAAAACGAAAAGGCTCGGTAAAAAGAAAGTGTACAGCCTCGGGAAAAGAAAACTAGATGACCCACCAGAAAGAAAAAGGAAATTAGCTGAGCTATGGGGAATTGCAGCTCATCCTGGTGTCACCCTGTTTGTTTGTGCTGACAGTAAAGGAAAAAATGATGCACCCTGAAGTTCCTATAGTAGCCTACAACGGATATTATTAGAATATTTGTCTTGCAGGCGGGATATTTGTGGATACACACAGCACTGATCCTACACAGGGCTATTTGCTTGGCTAAAAGATATGCATATGCACAAGTCCCAAAGAGCAGCATTTAAAAATTGCATGTGCTGCAAGTGATGAAGTAACACAAATACAATCTATATGTTTCTGTGTCAACGTTTGTGATGGTTCGCATCATAAGGTAAAGGGGGTAACAGGGTCAAGGGTAAAATGAACTAATGCTATTGGTCTTTCGTGAATATGCTGCTGTGCCAAAGTCTTAGGTCGCTACTGCATGTATGTACGGTAGTCCTTTTGGAATTGCCACCTAGTGGCAAATAATGAGAACCACTTTCCCTTTTGGAAACTCCTCCTGCTTAATCTGCATAACTCCACCTCTTCATATACACCTGACAGATGGGCTTAGAAAATGCGAAATGAATGACGCAGAATATCAGACAGC